ATCATTATAAAAATGGTTAAGATGCTACTTGAGGTGAAATTATTGTTTTTCTAAGTCTTCTGTTGGGCAAGCAGCTTATTCCTAGAAATTCTCTGAGGGTCATTCTTCCTGCTTTAAACTCATTTCCACAATTTCTCCAAGGTCACAATGGGTCACTTGCTGCCCAAGAGGTGAAACATAAGTAAATGTTACATGTATTTATACGTGTACGTACACACACAGGCCCTCTGGAATCTTTGGGTCTCCAAAGACAGTTGCTTCGCAGGTGATATAAATTGGGATTTTGAGGCTCACCATCTCCATAGTGTTTGGAAGACTGGGGCTCTAATGAAAGAAGTTTTCTTGTCCCTTTGCCCAAACATGTGTCAGGAGAGCTGCCTTGGTGTGTGTGTTTGGGAGGTGAAGAGTAGTGTGGGTGCGGTCACCATAGTCTTCCGGGCACAGCTCAGGGGCAGATGTCTAAATACTCACCACTCGTTTTCCTCATCCCTCCTATTTTCCCCATTGCCCCAGGATGGAATGTTCTGGAAGATTTCATTTATTAGGCAAGCTCTGCCATTTATTAAAGCAAAACGTTCCTATACAGGACAAATGTATATGTGGTAGCTTTAGCACATTCATATTTTTACTGAGATATATTTGGCTACAACTGTTATTTTAATGTCAAGTATAATTTGAGGAAGTGCAACGTTTTAAATTAGTGTTAGGAGAGAACGGGGACTTTCCTATTTCTTAAACTGCAGTATTTCTGAATGTTTATAATACAATTTTCATCTTTGAAAACAAATTTATAAAAGTAATTTGTATTTAAAGTAGTTAGAAAATACAGAAAAAGAAATAAATGCAACCCGTAACTCCACTCCCCAAAGATAATAACCAGAGTTTTGGGGGTATGTTTTCATTACTTTCTTTTACGCACACATTCGCATAAATATGAAAGTATTTGTAACACAATTGAATGTTAGAAGAATATCTATGATGAATTATTGCTGAATAAACAAGAATCTGGTAAATGGATGCAGATGGAACCAAACTGAAGTCCAAAAAGAGGCCAACTCAAAAGGCCTAAAGGATTTTAATTTTAACTCATGAAGTTTGGGGGGGAAGTACTCAACCAAATCCACAGTAAATTCTATTGTTGAGCAAATACAGACCTCCTTCTTTAGTATAAGCAGTCAAAAAATAAAAAAATCACCAAGTATGTGAAAATATTCAATAGTTCAAAAGAAGGGTTTATTCTGAGGAATTGGAAGAAACACTCCCCAATGAAACAAACATGAAATGGGAGAAAACTTTTAAGCAAAGTCCCTAAGATACATTTCCAGTGAGACTTGAGAAGTTTTCACATCTATAATAAGACCTCATCATGGGAGATGTTTTAATTTGAAACACAATTACAAAGACAAATTTAAAAATGCAATGTCCCCTAGTAAACTGCTGGATCTGGGAACTGAGCATCCTTAGCTATAAACATGGAAGGACATACAGCCACTTATAAAGCAGTACTTCCCCACCTGAGATTCAGGCAAAGAAACATGTTTAAGAGGATGCACTCAGCATCTCCTGAAGGAAACTGCAGAACAAATAAATTGCTGAACAAATAAACTACAGGGGTGAGGGTGGGGGAGAGAGAATTATCAACCAATATCAATGGATCCTATTTCAAACATTTGTGAGACCATTGGAAATTTCAACACTGAGTAGATATTTGATATTAAATAAATACTGCTAATGTTTTAAGATATAATTGTTTGTTTTTTAAAGCTACCTTTTAGTGGTAACTACAGAAATATTTACAGATCTAAGATGTTTGGGATTTGATCAAAAATAGGGGAGGGAAATTTGAGGAGTGAAGATGAGACAAGATTGGCCAGTAGTCGACGGAACTGCTAGGCTGGGTGGTAGGCACATGGTGGGTTACTATTCTACTTTTGTTTGAAAATGACCAAAATAAAATATTTAAAAATTGCATTAAAAGACATGAGCAAGGGGTTAGGTATTCTAGAAAACCCAGTCAGTGACTTAAGACCATTGCTCAGGAAATTCTCCTAAAACTTACAGGAAGTGGAAAAAGATGGTATGAGTGAAACTATATGAAACTATATGAACACGTAGGAGATGCAGTGTGATTGTACAATCAGAATTCCAGAGGTGTTGTGAACAGGACTGACAGGGGACAAGCAAGAACCTTCATTAAAGAAGATTTCCATTATCGGCGTTTTCTTTAATCGATGAGTTATTTAGCAGTATTTTATTCATATGCAGAGATTTTAAAATGTTTCTAACTTCCAACTTGAGTATAGTTAGGGAACACGATCTGTCTGATAACTATTTTTGAAAAAGTTTTAAGGCTTGTTTTAATGCTCGGAACAAGAACAGCTATAGAAACAACCCTGAGTGCTTGTAAAGAATGTGTACTCTCAAACTGCTGGATGCAGAATTCTAAACATGCCCTTTGGTCACTTAACTTCATTTAGTTTCTGTTTGCCTGACTTATCAAAAGGGAAGTGCTGTCATCCCAATTGGCAGATGTGTTTATCAATTTCTTCCTATAGTTCTACCCATCTATACTGCGTGAATTTTAAGGCTCTCTGATTAGGTGCATGTTTAAAATTGACTCCTCTTTGTAAACTGAACCTTTCTATCATTATATCATGAACTTCCTGATCCTTAACAATGCTTTTTGTCTTAGGATTTATTTTGCCTGAAAGTAATATAATAGATGGTTAGTATTTGCCTCATGTGATCTCCCCACATCCTTTTACTTTCAATTTTGCCTGTCCTTATGTAAATCGGTGCTTCTAAACTTATCTATGGTGAAGGATCGCTTTTTGTTTTTCCCAATCCGTTATAGGCTCTAAGACTTTTGTAAAATATTGTTTAAAACAATAAATTAATAAAATTCTGGAAGTTCATCTTACCGAAATTAAAATACAAGCTATTTTAGTATTATATTCAACACACGTAAAACGATTGCCAAATTCCTTAGAAAATTTTATATTTTTTAAACATTTCTAAGACACTATCGACTTCTGAACATATCTGTTGCCTTCAACAATCACAGCCACACTTCTGAACACCAGTGTTGTAAACAGCATATATCAGGATTTTGTCCTGCCATCTGGTCTAACAATCTATCGTTTAATTGGAAAGTTTGGTCCATTTATAGTTATTGGTATACTTAGGCTTGTTTCTCTCACCTCTGTAGGTCTCTTCTCTTGCACCAAGTTGATATGGTTTTGAATTGTAATTTGAGATTGTGGGTTTTTCTTTCCTTTGGTCCTCACTTTTTAATGACCAGGTGCTATAGACTGGTTTGTGTCCTCCTGAATTCACATGTTGAAACCTAATCCCAAATGTGTTGGTATCTAGAGGTAGAGCCTCTGGGAAATGATCTGGTCATAAGATCAGAGCCTTCATCAATAGGATTAGTCCTCATGAGAGGTCCCAAAGAGACTGCACCTTCATCCCTTCTACCGTGTGAAGACATGTCGAGAAAATAGCTATGATCCAGGAGACAGGTCCTCACCAGACACCTAATCGGTCGGTACCTTGACTGCCAGCCTCCGAAACTGTGAGAAATGTTTGTAGTTTCTAAGCCAGTCTATGGTTTGTAGTTTCTAACCCAGTCTATGGTTTTCTGTGATAGCAGACAGAAAGGACAGAGAAATCAGATTTACCATCGTATAGTTCACGCTTATCTTTCTCAGTTATCTCCTAAGACACTTCATTCTCCTTTTTAAGTACTTCATTCAAAATATGTAAATGGAGGCCTTTGAGTGGATAGACATAAAGTTCTAAATTCAAAGTTCTTTTCCTTCATTCCTTAAAAATGTAACTGCACAGACAGGGTTGCTGCTGGAAAATCTTGACGTCCATAGGTCCCAGCTCCTCAGGCTTTGCTTCTGATTGTCTGGAAGCTTTCAGAATGGTCTTGTCTTTGTTAGTCTTAAATGTTAATACTACCCAGCAGTGAAGATGAATCAACTACATTCTAGATATGTAGCAACATGAAACAATCTCACAAGTGAGTGAAACATGACGATACATACACTGTCATTCCTTTTACATAATATTCAAAACCATGCAAAGCTAAAACTAAATAGTAAGTTGTTTAAGGATGCGTTTATATGGTAAACTTGTGAAGAAAAGCAAAGATAAACCCCCAATCCAAGTAGTGGTCCTCTCCTGGTGAGGAATGGGGATGCACTAGGAGAGAGGCCCATGGGATGGGAGTGAGGGTTGGCGAGGGTCTGAAGTACTGGTAATGTGCTGTTGTCCCAGCTGGGGGTGAGAACATGGGTATGGTTTTTTTTTTTTTTTTAATACTTTACACATACTTTTTCATGTACATAAACATAATGTAAACATTTCACCTCATGACTGGTTGTCTAGCAATGGCTCAATGCTAGGATATTGGGAACAGGAGGCAGCAGGTCGCATACCTGTGGGAGTAGCTGTGATGGTCACTCATGGCCCAAACTGCCACAGATGAATCGGGGATGGAGATGGGAATGGAGGAACTCTAACTTTGCTCTAAATTAAGAAGTACACCTAAGCACCTCTGGACACCTTCATACCCCACCAGGAATCACGCCTCTGAATAAGCTGACACTAGCTGCTCTCAGGTGTGGCTCTGAACCTTTTCTGGAATCTACACCTCAGCACTTCCTGCCGGTCTAAATATTCAGTCAGCCTGAAGTGACTGAGGCTGCTCTTATGGACAGACAGCCTTTCAGGTCCCCAATTTCCAGATGTCACTCACCTAACGAGGCTCATAATTTCACTCCAAGTTCTAGCATGAATGCATCTCCTGAGGTCTTACTGCCTCCTTAGATATCCTACCAAGGAGCCTGCTCGGGTTCTCCAGGTGTCACCCACAAGGATAACATCCATATACCTGTTTAACTGAATTTTTTATTAGTCGATTTCCCTCCCCTAGGTGTAATGACAGGTTTCTTAAAGACCAGCCATGGACGGATGCACGTGAACGGCAGAACTGTGTCCAGGAGAGCTTTTATTTGTACGGAACAGTTTTAAAAATACAGAATAAAATAGCTTTATCTCTACTATTATTCACAACATCTGGTCCAAATATTACATATTTTTAAAATACTTAAACGTTTAATGAAGCCATGTTAGAAAAACAATATGAAAATTCTTTTTAAAAACTCCATAAAAGAATTACACATCTCAAAAAACAACCCCCCAAATACCCTCAGTATGCAAAATAAAAAAAACGAAATCCCAGAAAGGTACATAGCCAAAGTCAGTCACAAAAACTCAAGGAAAATATAGGCATCCCCACTGTTTTTAAGAACAGTCAGAAATTTATTAATGTGTCAAACAAAGGTTCTTACAAACAAAGAAAATATTAATTTGAACTGTCAGTAAATGGCCACTCTGGTAAAGGTGTACTAAATGCCACGAAACACACACAGAAATTCTAAGGATGCTGGAAGTTACCTATGTAGAGTGATGATGAGGCACAGTCGAGAACAACCTAGAAAGACAGGAATGTGTGAGGCTGCTGAAAGGGGTTCCCAGTGTTAACGTGCTTTCTGGGTCCATGGGCGGAAACTGAACGCTGGCAAAAACGGGTGGTCTTCTTGCACTACTTGGGTTGTGCCTGCAAGAGGGGCAGAGGGTGGGAGACGTCCTGCTTTCTGTATCCAAATCATCAGAGGACAGAGCATAACACGTGCAGCATGGGAGACTCCAGGCTCTTCTGTAAAGCCGAGGGCGGCTCCCTGGAGTACTAGACCCTGCCAACGCTCAGGTGGCTGCGCATGACCCCGGTGTCCAGGGGGCATGGCCGGGTGTGCATGCCAGGCCCGATGTCGACAGCCGACTGCACACCCGAAGGACAGTGGCCTGCAGGATGCTGCCTCTCTTCGCTCCAGACAGGGTCTGGAATGAGGTTTCTGCCACAGCTCCTTACTCATCTTCTATCTGGCCTGGCCATTTTTGTGGCATCAATATTAAGGAAGGTTATAGTTGCCAACTTCAAGTCTAAGTTGCTAGTACCAATATTTCAGCAGGGACATGAATTAAAGAAATAACAACTTAGCTCATGGTCATAAAACATACTCATGGGTAAATAAAGTATACACACATACTAGAGATTCATCAATGGAGAAATTCTATCATCACATGACATTGTCATGAAAATTATATCATTCCCTCCCTGGAAAACTGTGATTATTATCCTGGGTAGAAATGTTATTTTACTATATGGAAATACTGCAACATATTCATGCATAAATCAAGTTGTCATCATGAAAGTCAGTATTCTACAGTATAAAGCAAATCCTGTGTACGAATTTGTTACCATGAAAATGGGAAACCATCACGACCCATGATGCTTCACTCTAGCTGACCTGGTTAAGCCACTTCTCTTCCCTTGAACAATCACAAGAAACTTCCTAAAAGTTAATATCTGAAGCCCTCTTAAGATTCTGTGCCAATGGATCTAAGTTTAACTCCCAAATGAGAATGAGAATGAAAACTGCTTACAAAGACTGGAGCCACTTCCCATTATTCTGTGAGCAATGTAAGATATTTTTATCAAAATCAGTGGTAGAAAAAAAAAAATCTGTGTTGGGGTCTTCCTTAGCCACCCCTAACCCACCCATTAGGGATATGGCTGCATCTACTGTCCCTATAAATACTTTCTATTTACTTTCCACATCAAGATGGCTCACGTAAATATAAAGACGGTGGGTAAGTGGTCACTGTGGAAACTAGAGACTGAATGCCCTGCCCAAGGATATTAACATATTATTTTAAAACATTCTATTGGACAAAAAAGCATGGTGAGTGTGTGACCCCAACAATGCAGGCGAATAGTATAAGTGGGAAGCACACAGGGACAGACCGTGCATGGCCACCACATTCCCCAAAACCTCCCCTTTGTAGTGTGCTTAAACTCAAGAAGCAGATGAATATATTTTCCTTTCAATGAGGCTCATTCTGTTGCATATTGGCTAGCAGAAGGCCAACTTCCTAAAAGGGCTGGCGGGTGCTGCATGTGCAAGATTTATTAGTTATCACGAGACTCCAATCACTCAAGCAAAGGTGAGTGATTGGAGGCTGTACAGAAAGCGCAAGGCTTAATGGAGCCTCTATTCAGGCTGCCCTCTTTCCTCCCCACCTCCTGTCCCCTCCCGCACCCCAACCCCCACCCCAACCTTTGGACAGGGAAGCTAAAGCTGGCCCCAATGGAACGAGAAGGACAAAAACCCTCTTTCCAATAGATAGTATGGATATAGGGCTTCCCTCCACATTCGAATGCTATCAGACATCCCCTGGTCCAGCAGATTTGAAACCTCCCAATAAAACCTGACTCAAGGAGGGGTTTCAGAAGGGAGTGGGTTTCTGGACGTTGGAAACACATACCCTGAGTGTTACCCACTGGGCAGAAGATGCCTGGTCAAGTTAAGTTGAAGGGAACTTATTTGTTTCTGAATTACTAATGGTTCAGATGCTTTCATTTGGGTACTTGGTCCTTCTGCTCACCTACAGAGCTAGAATACTGCAAATCTCTGGGATGACTAACAGTTTTTCCCATTTTTCAGAGCTGAGAAATTGGAGATGCTGAACAGAAATACCAATAGAAGGAACTGAGAGTGACTCAGTGTAGGAGGGCTGTCAGCCTCGAGGGCTTACCAAGTTAAAGGAATGGAAATCCTTAACCAGTGTGCTTCAAAAGAAACTATGAATTGAATACACTTCAAAAAACCGTAACATACAAAATTAAATGTCATTTACAATCTAAGTTCTTTATATAATCTGCAATAAGGTCTTGGCTAAACAATGAAGTGGCTCCGAAGTGTTCTTGCCAGAACAAGCCTTGAAGCCCCCGACTTTCCAGGAGTCATGGAGGCTATCGTGACAGAATGATGCTGCCAGTGCAGCAGAGGCAGCCGCGGGGCAGGGAATGCACTCTGTGGACACAAGGCCGCTGAGAACCAGAACCATGACCTCCCGAGGCAAGGTCACTGCTTTATGTCTCAGACTTCCTTTGGCTGAAAATTTTCAAACCCAATTCAACTTTAGTCATTTTTTTCCCCAGAAAAATTATAGTGTTATTTAATTAGTACTCAACAGAGCGGATCTGCTGGCTGTCTTTCTTACTACTTTCTGCAATAACTAAACGAGAAAGGCAGCATTTGGCTAGAGGATCTAAATTATCTTCCCCTCTGCAAAATCAAGATCCAGTGGACATGCAACATGGCGACCTACAAAAAATTCTCCTTAAGCCTTAACTGCCAAAAGTGACTTGCAACAGAACTGCGGTGATGAATACGCCAGGACGCCAGACCATTCAGTATGGCAGCTCTGCTTGTTACCTGTCCTGGCTTCCCTTCTTCACAAAACAAATTCACGTATAACATAACCCATGGTTGCTGGGCTCTGGTCCAGTAGTCAGTTTTGATAAATAGATTAGGCATTACAGTATTTACACTTTCATGGTTATCAAGCAACACAAAACACAACCACAATAATAGTTACTGGCCTTTGAAAGCCATGACAGCAAGCTTCCCTGATGGTGTCCACAGCTTTACAAATGCTGGTTCTTTCCTTAATGAGAGGGGTGGGGTGGGGCACAAGTAATAGGGATACAAGGTAAGAGGGTCACGTGGAAAAACACTGATTTCAAAAATCTGCTATAGTCAATAACATTAAATAGGGATAAAATCTTGTATTTATAGACACACGCGACAATAACTGACATTCACGACAGCAGAGCCAAGACTCCCATAAACAACTGGTTGGCGCCCTTGTGTGGCAATCTACACCTGTTGCACCAGCCAGGAATGATAAATACCAGACAGAGCATCTCAGCTACTAGTGAAAAAGAGGCCAGTATGAAATGTGCTGGCCCAGCCTGGGCCAGGGTGGCACCGAGACAGAACAGTTGAGGATCAGATACTGACTTCAGGGTACTTTCCCTTCCCCTCCCACCCCCAAACAGCCTTCCAATCTAATACCATCTGTACAGACCTCACCTACGCACACATCTGGGCATAGGTTAACCATGTCATTGTTTTTTTCAATCAGGACAATAGCCTCCTCCAACAGGAAGGAGTATCCGGGAACATAGAATCACATTTGACCAATAAGCTGGGACAATGTAAGCTGCCCCTTAACCACAGGAGGTCTCTGCGGTTCAGGCCAAGGTCAAATTAAAAAAGCTGCACGTCCAGGTGCTGTACCAGAACAGAAAGCCCCTGGACCCTGGAAGTGGCTTACAGGAAAGCTAGGGGTAGTGGAAGAGGAAGGAAAACAAGGACAGGAGGAAAGGAACTTCAAGTTCAGTGACCATGGCCAGCAGTGGACGTTCTCAAGGATAAGGGGTCGGGGCTTAAATAAGGAGCCAGGCGGACACCATATTAGACATGATCACCACCCACAACAAAAAAGCTATTTGCTATCTGTCTTAGCTCTGGGGTGCAGAATGTAAATGCAGATATACAGACATATATGTTACTGCTTGTTACTCAGCAAGGAACTACGGATTCATGCCTCACTGCGGCCGGGCCACAGGGTAAGCTACGGCTATACCGTGGCCTGTGAGTCCTCGTCTGAACTCCGGCTGTTTGCACTCTTCCCAAGGCCTTTCCACGTGTAGCCCACAAAGGTTGGGCTGATGGGTAAGTAGCTGAAGCATTTGTATTTTTTAATAACGTTCATGCCAAATGGCAAATCATAAGATTCCATGCCATCGAGCGACTTGTTCCCTTTGCCCACGCCCTTCTTCCATTTCCTGATTCCTCTTTCCTCTGGAGTGCCTATGGAACACACACACATCAAAAGAAAACAATACAATGTTTAGTTTAACAGTTCCATCGATATTGGAGATTGTCCAACGTGCTGTCCCACAGATCAAACCTGTGGGGTAACTGCAAAGCGCACTTGATGGCACTCAGCTATCCAGGTGCCCAAACCAGAAATCTAGTTGCTAACCCATCTGTCTTCTTTTTGCTCCATATTCAAATGATCTCCTGATGCCTTTGCCTCCTCTCTGGCCTTCCACATGACCCACATTCTCAATTTTTACAACTGAGGTCTGGCCCAGGCCATGTCATTGCTTTCCTTAGTTATTGTATCAGTCTCTGAACTGGATGTCCAGCCTTCCATCTCATCACGCCCTCTCCCAAATCTGTTCTCAAGACTGGGCAAAAAAAACAACAAAAACGTCTCTCTAAAATGCAAATCTGATCTCATAAAATGGGGCCCAGAGATTATTTATACCACATACAATACCTTTATCAATTGGTCATGGCAAACCCCATCCCCCGCCCACACCAACATCCAAACATATCAAGTTTTATACTCTCCTCTATTTTAGAGCGTGTGTGCGTGCTGCACTTGTCATGTATTCCCTACCTATCGTGCTACTGTGAGGATGAACTTCCACTGTCAGGGAGAAAGATCTGGGCCCACAGGGCTCAGCAACTCCCGGACTTTATTTTTCTTACTAATGTGGTCTATAGGAGTGCTGGCACCTGCGCTCCTGGCAACATGGATACCTAACAATAAACACACTTCTGTGCCCGAGCCGGGGTGATGAGCTTGAGTCTACAGTGCAGTATTTAGGGTCCTCATTATTTTCTTACATCTAAGCTACCCCTCCCATCGGCGTTTCAGCAATGAAGCTGACTTTAATTTCCATCTGACTCCTGTGTCTCTCCCTCAATTAGTTCTGACTTAGGAGAGAAAGAGGGTGTTAGCTATTGACCCCCATAAACCTAATACTTTCCACCCATTCATGCATGTGATTCCCTCTGCCAATGTGTTCATCCCTAGTTTGCCCAGTGACCCCTTGATTGAGGCTTTTTAGAGGTGGGTTTTAAGGGTAAAACTTCAGTAAAACCTTCAAGCTCAAGAATAAGCGTCATCCTTCCTTGATGGTAGGTGAGTCTACCAGTAGATCCGTGGCAGCATTTCACAATGGTACATAGCAGCCTCCTCTCGGAGGTTGGGAAGGCTGCAAGGGAGGCCCATATCACATCCTAGTCCATCACCCAGCGCTTCGCACGGAATGCACCCAGCTGAGAAACATGAGTTATGGCTATTGGAGAGATGCTGCCTAAGAATGTCTCTCAGTCACTGATCCTAGTGGAAGCCTGTGCCCAGGTACTTGCTGGCTTTTGGTCTTAGGCAGCTGGGGCCTGCCTTAGGAAGGACTCATCTGAAGGACAGGCACTCCAAGGAGGAGATGTGCTGTAGGCTGCTACCAGCTGGCTTGGAGGAGTATGTGAACAACTCAGTGCAACCACACTGCAGGGTGCTGGGTAGGGCTGTGTGGGGAGGGCAGGCAGTCTGGACTGTGCCCATGGCATCGCACTGCCATTTAATAACCATGTGCGAGGCATTTATCTGCTTTCTCTGAAAAGTAATTCAGCAAGGAAGTAACAACTCAATAAGTTTATTAACAAAAAACTGATTAATGAAAAGAGGCCGGGAGTGTCATCTTAACCACTTTTTAGAGGTGGGTTTTAATCAGTGATGGCTTTGAACTTATTCACTCTTCCTGGTTCTCCTATCTATTTGGCAAAAAAAAAGTAATCCACACATGTGATAAGCATGTTTGACATATACCACATACCTGGGATGGTGTTGTCCAAAATAAAAGCCACACAGCCTCCTACAAACATAGCAGTTGTGAGAAGAACATTCAGCACTTGATCGATTCCTGTTATCCCTAGAAATGAACATAGCAATATGGTCACGGCCAGCCAGGACAGGCCTGCCCTTGCCTGTGAAAGGAGTACTGTGCTGGGCCCTAATCTCCAGTCAATGCAGTGCGTGAAAGTATTTTGTGCATGTGTAGATAAATTTTTGCCAGTGATGCTTTAAACTACTATGAATACCTTCAACAATGATCAAAAGGCATCGCCATAAGGAAAATTCCCAACAATGGTGCACAGATGATAAATCTAACAGAGTGAGGTTCACCCTATAATGAACTATGAAGCCATCGAGGGTATTTACAGATTTTTATTAAAAAAAAAAAACCAATATAAAAGATGGCTGTTGTAAGGCTGAAGAAACTACAAAGTGAATAAAAAGACAAGAAAAATATGTGTGGTATCTGCAAGTGAAGGTTTTTAGAATCCTGTGTTACTAATACGTGCTTAGCTGCTTTTAATTAGGAGCAACTAGATGTAGAAACATGGCCTCACGTGAATGTGATAAATTAAAATGTCAAAAGAATCTCCTTGTTATTATTGAAGTTCATATGCTTTCTCTACTTAAAATACATTAACCAACGATTCCACTCCTAGGTGTATACCCCCCAAAATCGAAAATAGTTACTCAAACTAATACAGCCAATCCTCATTATTGGTAAAATTTTTTATTTGTGAATTCACCTACACACTAAAATTTATAGTAAAGCCAAAACTTCTGGTTCTGTCACAATCATTCACAGACATGCACAGAGCAATAAGAAGGCTGTGATATGCCGTATGGAGAAAACACACGTGTTAGGTGAGCTTTGTTCTGGCATCCGTTAGCAATGGTTCAGGATTTGCTAATTCCATAGAACACAACTACCACAAATGAGAACTGACTGTACTTGCACACCTATGTTCATAACAGCATTAGTCATAACAGTCAAAAGGTAGAATCAACCCAAATGTCCATAAATGAATAAATGGAGAAACAGATTCTGGTATATTTGTGTATATATATATATATACAATGGACTACTATTTAGCCATAAGAAGGAATGAAATACTTATACATGTTATATCATGGATGAATCTCAAAAACATTATGCTAAGTGGAAGAAGCCAGACACAAAAGGTCACATATTGTAGGATTCCATTTATATGAAATATCCAAAATAGGTAAATCCACAATAACAGAAAGCAGACTGGTAGTTTCCAGGGGCTGGGAGAAGAGGGACTATAGGAATTAACTGCTTAATGGGTATGGAATTTTATTTTGAGGTGATGAGAATGTTTTGGAAACGAGATAAGAGGTGGTGGTTACAAAACACTGTGAATGTACTAAAATGCCAGTCTACGGCTATGCTACCCTGAACAGGCCCTATCCCGTCTGATCTCAGAAGCTAAGCAGGGTTGGGCCTGGTTAGTACTTGGATGGGAGACCACCTAGGAAGACCAGGTGCTGTAGGTGTGCAAAAAAAAAGAGAGGGTAGATTATAAACTGACAAGGTCCTTACAATCTGTGAGGTCAACCAAGGGTTGCCTCACCTAAAATAAGTAAATAAATAAAAATAAATAATAATAAAATAAAATGCCAATCAACTGCTGCTCATTTTAAAATGGTAAATTTTATGCTATATGAATTTCACCTTGAAAAATATAAGCATATACATAAAATGGTCCCCAATTCTGCATAAAATGCCAGAGTAATAACTATTTCTTAAGATGGTTTCCCTTTATTCATTCTTCATGACGTTGGGATAGTAAAATAAAAAAGAAGGGGTTCAAAGTACATAGAGTTTCAAGAAATTATATACTTTAATATAGCCTTATTCTAAGAAATGAAAAGGTTTTACACAGAGGCATTCTCCCTAAGGAGGGTCCTGGTGGAAGGGGGTAGTGGAGAGGGAGGGAGAGAGGAGAGAGACAGACAGACAGACCTTAACATGCACATCAGTGATGTGCACATGCCAGCTCATGTGAGAAATACAAAGGGCTTCCAGATAAACTGTGGCAAAGTGAGATTAGAATGAAATACACAGACAAACATCCACCAAGACAATTCTCGAAGTTCCAAAGTCCTCTCTGATGAAGAGCTGTTTGTAAACTGGTGGCTATAGCTCCAACTCCCCACAAGATTCAAAGTGTTTTGCCTACCTGTGACGAGAGGGTTCTGTCTGAGGTAACTTGGAAGGACCAGCCCAAAGAAGATTGAAAATCCAAGCACAAAGAGGTTCCGGGAAGAATTTAAATCGATGAACTGCAGGTTGGAGAGTCCAACAGCTGTGATCATACCTAAGGAGAAAACATCAGACGGCAGGTTCCATTAGCTCACGTGGATGAGCTTACAGCATGGGTGACAGATGACCCACGGCCATCAAAGGCAGACTTCCTAAAATGTCCTTTCTCTGTCCCATCATAAGTAGAATGCCAGTGCAGTGTCAGACAGGGGGGTTAGAATGTGATCACCTGGGTCGCTGATCCAAATGACCTTCAGCCTAAGCATCCTCTGGGCTCATTTAAGGGCATAAACATCACACTTTCTTTCCACCAAAAAAAAAAACAAAACCAACTAAGGACATTAGTTCCTCCTCTACACACATTGCAATTAAACTGGGAAACCCACCCAACTATTTGGTCCCTGATTACAACTAAATGGCACAAAGATCAGAGGCTCATTGTAAAATGGTCAGTTTTAAACAACCCATTCAGATGGAAAGATAGGTTGAGTTAAATCAATTAGAAATACCATTTAGAGAGACTAAATTTCACCTCGTTTTTCCTAGCCCCATTATTCTACTTTTGGCTCTACCTTCAACATAAATTCAGTACAGAGAGTGATGCAGGTTTTTATGTTTTGAAGGTGTGTCCTTTTGTATTTCAAAACAGAAATTTATTGTTACTTCCAATTTTACCGAAAAGATTTAACTAGCAAAAAAACATAACCCCTATGAAAATGGGAGGAAAAGGAGCCTGAGAGGGAAGCCGGCCATCAAAGAAATGGAAGTTTACCAAAGAGAGTACAGAAGAGGGCGCCAAGCACAGGATCCGGGAGGGAGGCGAAGAGGGCGCTGAACTTCCCGATCATGCCCAAGGCCAGCATGAGGGCGGCCCCGTACTGTATCACCCGGCGACTGCCAACCTGCAGGACACGCCAGAGGCAGAGATAGGCATTTACCTCTGAGTTCAGCATGAATTCCCCAGGCCCCTTGGTCACAAGTGTGACAAAATCCTAATTCAAAACCTGGGTTACTTTTAAGATTGTTAGTTAAGAGAGATCAATTTCATTTTATAATGAGGATTGATCTCAATGCACAGTTCCTAGAAATGACCATACAGACACCAGAGTAAAAAGATTCCGTCACCTTTCCTCATTCTTGTCCTGGCCCTTCTCCTCCCCTTCACTGTACGGGGCCCCCAGGACTCGGCCTTTGTTTCGCTTGGCCCTGGGTGATGTCACCTGAGCATGGACCTGCTCCTGCACTCAGACCGTGGGTTTCTAATGCCCACAGTCAATGGCTGAGATGAACTTCTAGTCTTTCAAATGCAAACTGCAAAAGCTACCCTTTGCCTCTGCTTCTCTTTTGGGTTCCTGGCATCGCCCTTCACCGAGTTAACCTGCCCCAAAGCAACTCCACCTTCCCTGCACCGCGAATCAGACAAGACCCCAAAAGTTTCTGGAATTTTCTCTCATGTTGTCTTACCTGTGAGAGGGGGCACAGACTAGAGGACACAGACTGCAGAATTCTCAAGCCCTACGGCCTGGATGGCATCCCTACCCCACCTCTATCCATGTGACTGGGGCAAGCAACTTAGTCTCTCTGGGTGGCAGGATCCTCACCTCTTTAACCGTGTGGTTCTGCTTCGAGGATTAAATGAGACATGTAAAATAGTTTGAACAGTGCCTGGCAAGCATCGGGCTATTCGATAGCCTACCACCTGGGCTTGCAGCCTCTGGCCTTTTCTCTGCCCACCTGTCCTCTCCACTGGGGTGGAATGACCTTCTAACGCACTGGCTTAGGAGGTCATCCCTTAAGTCCTCTGGCGCTCATAAAAAAAACACACTTCTCAGGCTCTTCCCAAGGGAGCCAAGCCCACTGGCAAGTTCCTTGTCCAGCCCCAGTCACGCTGGGGGCTTACCACCTAATCCTCAGTGTACCAGGCAAGCCCAGGCCTGCCTGTCTGGAACACCCTTTCCCACATCCCTCTTCTGGCTGGTTCCCAGACACAGCCTTCAAAACACTACCCTCTGCAAAGCCTTCCCTGATTCCACGGCTAGGCTCCTCTCCCAGCGCCCCTCCCCACCCCACTCTGGGCTTCTGCTGCGCCACTTATATCATTTCCCACGTGGTCTTATCTTTATCTGTTAAACCTGATCTCTACCTTCTAGAAACTTCTGTCTAGTCCGCTGTCACCCAGGTAGCAGGAGGTGGAACTGGCACTCGGCTCAAGAATCCTGCATTGCTGGCCCCTACTCTGTGCTGCCTCTCCCAAAAAAATAACCTGAGGAGGTAAATCAGATAACAAGGGTTCCAGAAACATCTGGAGGGGTGTCCACAGAGCTTTAAGAATGATTCACAATAATGAAAAGATGGCTACTTACATTTAATTAAAATGAAATGAAATCTAAAATTCAGTCTCTTAGTTGCACTTGACACGTTTCAAGTGCTCCCCAGGCACCTGTGGCGGGTGGTGGCCCCCATGTTACAGGTGCAGAACACTGCCACCACTGCACGATGCTCCACTGGACAGTGCTGGTCTAGAGAGTCCAACAATTTCTCAAAAGACCCAAGGATCAGTTGATTAAGAATGAGAGTTGAATCTTACTGAGCAAATGAAGAGGTGACTGTCCAGCCAGAATCAGCACTGCTGAGACTAGAGCTCAGGCTTTATTGTTCCAATCCACAGCTCCTCCCATACAACAATGAATGTAGGGAAGCAGTGACAAAGGTCAAGAAACTGGCAAACCCAGTAAAAATGACCTACCATTAATTGGCTGTATTACGGGATAAAGAAGCCTTTTATTTATAAATGGCTCGTTTTTCAGCAAACACTTTTAAGGACCTACTACGTGACAAGCACTTGTTTGAATAGGGGAAGGGGTACAAAGATCAGTAAGTCAGGTGCTAATAATGAGACTCATACTCTTGCCATTGTTACAATGTGTGGGAACCCAGTGGGAAGAGAAACTGAAGAGTTGGAGAGGGGGTCCCCAGAGATGGTCTTGAGGGATGAGCAAGAGTTTACTGGAGAAAGAGCATCCAGGCAGAGGGAGCTGCCTGTGCAAAGCCACCTCCTGGCAGGGTCAGGCAGCCCTGTTAGGTGTGCAAGGGGAGGGCTAGGCTGGCCCCAGGGATGCCTGAAACAAATCTTACATGAAAACCATGCATGAAAGGCTGATCCGCCTCAGCTGTCAAAAACAAAAACACAAGGAGCAACAAAGCCATTCTACTGTTCAACGAATATTAATTGAATGCCTATTACATATTCTGTTCCAAACACCAGACACAGCCCTAAAATTCCTGCCTCCCGGTGCTCACACAGACCCTTGCATCTCCTTCCTGATGGCCACCCCCTGGAATCTCTTCCTCACCTCCCTCCTGACCTCATTCCTGAACTTTGGCTCTGCCTCTAGGGCCACTGTTTCTGACTTTCCAAAGTCTTCAATAGCATGGAAGCAGCAGAGGAAAAATGACCTTCCTCTGGACACCACCAGAAAAATACTACAGCCAGAGAGACGGTGTCCAGTCCTAGAAACAAATTTACGGCCCAATACGGAGGCACAGGGTGAGGAAACAAAATGGGGTACCTACAGCCAAGCTGCTAAATTACTACCATCGAGTAGGTTAAGGCATGAGGAAACGGTCCTGTTATTGTTCTAACTAGCCTGGGAACTTAAACTTTTGTAACTTTCCAGTCACGTCTCAATGCCTGGATATATATCTGGATATATACCAGCCTTCCAGATAATGCTTACCTGGCCATCAGGTGTGACCAGACTTCCTGGCACCCATCTTTCGGACCCCCTGACATCTGACTGATAATCATTCTGGAACAATCCTAGGGCTAAGAATGAAAGGCTGATAATTCTCAAGAATGTACTTTTTACGGTAAGAACTCTTGACTTTTCTTTCTTCTTCAGAACGCTTCTGGGTTTTTGCCTGGCTGTGTCCCCAGTCTGCAAATTCTAAGACCCTTGCACTAAGTCTTTATCACTGTAGCCAAAGTCTCTGGGCTTTTTGAGTTCGTTTGACAGTATCATATAAAGACGGTATCTGTAATTTACTGTGAACCTACCACAAGCTGGACTCTGCTTAGTGCTTCACACCAAGTTATTCATTCCAGTGCCTTGCACACTATCTTGCTGACAAGGGCATGGAGGCTCAGAGAAGTGATGTCACCTCGGGAGAAAGTGATGGAGGCAGGGCTGGAACCCAAAGCAGTAGCAGTCCCCTCCCACCATGTCTGCTCCTCTGTGGGACAGATGTTTGCACACACTCAGCAGAGGAGTCCTGCAGCTGGAATCTGACCCCTTAGAACTTCAGAACATACAACGGGGTAAGCAGCCTCAACTCCTAGTCAAACGGGTTAAAATTCCCATGGACATGGAATGGCATAACTGGATAAAGGATAACAAATAGTATAATTGCCAAGAAATGGAGGCAGATTCTTTGGACAAGCCATAGATCACCCTCTTTTCTACATGCTCTGGAAGTCTGATACAAAGACCCAGACCATTGCCATTCCCTAGAACTTTCTGCACTGACAGAGGTATTCTATATCTGTGCTGTCTTTTGGCAGCCACTAGTCAGTCACAAGTGACCAATGAGCCCTTGAAATGTGGCTAGTGTGACTGAGGAACTGAATCTTTCATTTTAACTAATTTAAATTTAAACAGCCACATGCCATGGCTACTACCATATTAGATAGCGCAGATCTAGATCTAGAATCATCAGGTTTCAGATCTCAATTCTATTCAGAAAAGTGACTTGTCCCAAGTCTTTCATCTAGATGACAGGCACAGAGTCCAGAACTTGTGCCTTCTTTTTCCTGGACAGGATCTCCCATTGGCTGCACACCTCAGGCCACAGAGAAACTGATGTTGCAAGTCTCACTTCCCCATCCCAAGGCGCCTGTGGAGATGGACGGATTGTACCCGCTTGTGAGCCAGGGCAATGGAAACCGATTCCAGGGCTGACACTGCCCTGAAATAAATGCCATCTTCGCTGAGGAAGTGACCCAAAGTGATTCTGAGGGAAGATCAATTCAGTTCATTAAAAAGCCCTGGCAGGTTGCCTTTTAGAACAAGCTGGCACCACTCAAAATATAATAAAAATAATTATTCCCCAGACCACCTCAATCCTTGATTAGAAGGGAACCTCAATGAGCAGCACCACTTACTCCCTACAGCGACTCTGCCTGCCGATGACGTGTTTCAAAGGGTACAGAAAGGGAGCTGGCTTGCTCAACTGCCTTCCCCTGAAGTTCCCCCATTTACAACAATTTTACTTGATGCTATTTAAGATTAGTTATATGTCTACGGGTTCATGGCAGCAAATTGGCTCAAGAGTGAGTGGCTTATGCCCCATTTCTGTGTCCATGCGATAGACACTCTGTGTACTCAGCATCTGTTTCTCACCACTGGTGGCAATAGGTCTCAGGGATGGCACTGGAGAAAGTGCCCATCGGGCAGCCCTCATGAGTGCTGCGCCAGGAGCCACAGGCAGCAGGTGGAGCCATCTGCACACTTGAGGCTGAACTCGGTGATGAACTTACAGGAAAACCAACCAATGTGTCAGGCATGCACCGTGTATGCCCTATTCCCTCTCACCTGGATTTGTAGTCAAGATTCACCAAACTTAGTATTTGGTTTCTTTTTATCTGACTATAGAATCTCCCAGAGAGCTGGGCAGCGAATTTCTAATTTCACAGAGGTCAAACAGTTTTAGAAGGCTCCAGCTTACACCCAAGTTCTCAGGACACAGGGCTCAGGTAAGGAAGACCTGTGACCCATGCATGCTGTTCTGGATGGTGAACCAGTTCTCACAGTCTCTAGCTGCACATACAATGGTTGGGGGACCAAGAGGCATTCCTCAGCACCCTGGCAAACAGTACACTTTGGCCCTAGATAACTGGAATATGAAGTTTACTCGCTAGCAATAAATTTGGAAGCCCAAGAATAAGTGTCTTCTTATAGAGGCTGGACTGTGGGGTGGGACAACCCCAGGGCCACGTGTCTGTGTACAAAGCTGGGTGGGGAGGAGAGGCAAGTAGGTGGGACTCCTGACCCTGGCCTTGTTCAACCCGAGTAACTCACTACGGCTTGTCTAATCCACTCCACAACTAATTTCATCTGAAAGAGAAGGATTCTGCTGTGACAACTTAAAAACCATATTAATTCTTTACTAAAAGAACAATTTTTTTTCTGTAACAAGTAGTATCATCTCTCATCTAGAACTAGTGCCATCTCCTAATTGGTCCCTGTTTCCATCCCCTCCACCACCCACCGTGGTCACCTCTCACCACAGCAGCCAAAGTGGTCTTTAAAAATAATAAAACGAAACAAAAAAACAGATGGAACAGTCTCTCTGGGGCACCCCCTTTCACTTAGTCGCCAGCAGCCTACAGGGTTTGCGTGACCTAGTCCTCGGTTACCTCGATGACTTCATCTGCTCTTCCCTGTCCCCGCCCCTCACTGGCCTCCTGCTGATCTGCCACATACTACACTGCACCCAAGACAGGGCTTTGAACTGGCCGTCCCCTGCCTGAATGCCCACTCTCCAGGCATCTGCACAGCTCTATGCCTCCCTTGCCTCGTTCAGGCCTTGGCCCAAGGCCATCTTATCAATGAGGCTTAGCCTGACCACCCCCATTTAACACTCACCCTCATTCCCCATCCCCCCACCCTGCCCCATGTTTCTGTCATACTTAGTATGCTTACTGTTTATTGTTTGTCTTTCCCTGCTACAATGTAAACTTCACGAGAATGGGGCTGTTTTTCTTTTTTATTCACTAATGCATCCCAAGTGCCTGGAATGGCAGGCTGGCACAAGGTTGAGTGCTTAATAAAAATTTGTAGAATGCAAGAAGGAATAACAGCATCTGAGAGCCTGTCTACCCAGGCCAGCCAAGGGAGGAGAGACCCCCACCGGCCTTCCAAAAACCTATCAATGGAAAAAAATAAGGAAATGTGGGGAAGGTGATCTCAGAGTTGGGGGTCATCCTTTTGGAACTCAGGTGGTCAGACCAATCAGTGAAACGAGTCGACGTTTAGAGGCCCAACTATTTAATTAAAAAAGTACTTGTACCTTAGTAATTCCCAAAACTCCAATGTTGGGACTGGATGAAGTAGAGCCATTCCCAGTACCAAATATGCCATCGAGAACACAGGAGAGACCCTCCACGAATATCCCCCTAAAACGTAAAGGAATGGGGGAAAGAGAAACATTCATTCAATGGGGGAGGCAATCTACAGTATGCTCTAAATGACCATGACACAAAGGCCTGGTCCACAGATCTGCAGCCTCCACACACCCTGGGAGGGGGAGCAATGCAGAGTCTCAGGCCTGACTCCAGACCTGCTGAGGCAGAGCTTACACTTGAACAGGATCCTTCACTCTCATTCAACTTTGAGAAGCACCTCTGTCACCACACATTAGACAAAGGTGTTCAAACAGAATTCCAAATTAAAGGATTTTAGCCAGAAAACAGAGCCATTTGTTGGGATCTAAGACAAACGTGGGCCGTCCACTGACTGATTTGATTTCTTTGCTATTAATATATAGTTACATCAGGAATGACATGTTTTGTAATTCTGTAAACATTGATGCTTTTTAAAAGAATCAATATACAAGTAATATAATCATATGCAACAGTTCTCTTGGAGAAAGACATAAAAAGCAGGACTGTAAACTCTAACATTAGAACCATTGCAAGAGATGCTAAGACACAACCCATTACATCTCATCACACACAATCCCTTTCGGAGGAGCAGCAGCTGCTTGGGAAAGAGGCGCCAGTGGGGCATTGGGAGTGTGGTGATCTGGGCTATTTTCTCTTCTCTGAAGCCTCCATAGGGTCCAATTCACTCTCAGCATATAGAAACTAAAGACCAGGTGTGCTGAGAATCTAAACCCTACAGCTCGTAAACTTCTAGATTCTGCAGACTTCATTTATTCTTGCTTTTATCTCTCCACATATAAATTATAATTATGAATAGATGACACAGCATCTACTGTTCAGAACGGCTGGGAAAACAACAATCAAAAGAAACATATATTCATGACCCCAAACCAAGCAAAGAACAATGGCAGGGTGTCACTTATTTTGATGAGTTTAAAGTCTACAGTGGTCTCATAGAGAATGTGTTAAGAAAGGAAGAGAATTCTGCTTGGAGCTACAGATGAGGAATGAGAGAGCAGGGGCAGTGACTTGCCCAAGGACAAACAGCCAATGAAAAGCCCTAATACTTGGCTGCTTTCATGCTGAAGCACTTGGCTTCTTCTCCAAGATCTTCCAAACCAAAGAGCAAAGTATTGAGGTACTGCGCCTGATGAAGAACTCATTTTCTCAGACACGTACCTGTTTATTGCATGGATAGGGGGCGGTGGAGCACAGGACAGCCGTGCGCAGGCGTAGTAGTCCCCGATAGACTCAATGATACTGGCAACAACCGCGCTGAGCATGCCGATGACACCAGCCGCAGAGATGGTGGGCAGTCCCCACTGAACTACGTAAGGAAAACAAACATGAAATTCTCACTTTCTTAGAGGGAGAGGCAAAAGTTAGCAGGATAGCGAGTCATTCAGAACTTCAGGACTCTGTAAGACCCACTCAGATTTCAAAACTAATGGAAACTTTATTTTTAAACCTAAGTCACCAATGTGTAGGTGCCTGGGAATAGTTCCTGAGCCAGTGGAAGTTGGCCATACCAGGACTCGTCTGTTCTATGTCCTTATTTAAAACTGTTTGGCAGGAAGAGGCAGGTGTTTCTCCTGCTTCAAAACCACAGTGTCTACTAAATTACAACTTAACATAGCCTGCTGTGTTGGGATAGAAATTGTATGAGAAGGATTTTTAACCCTGCTGTGCAAAGTGTGGTATGAACTCATGGTGCCCTTGCACTGGGGTTGGCATCAAATGAAAAAAGCATTAAATTAAAAAAGCTGAATTAAATCCCAACAGTAAAAGCATGACACAAAGTAGAGACAACCCTTAAGTAAACCATGTTATGGAAAATTAGATAGATTCCTTTTAAGAAAGCAAAGAGAAACCCCCGGTGGCTTCATTTTGAGTCCATAGATTTAGTTAGTTCTTCTTTAACTTTAACTTTAAAGAAAAAAAAAAATCTCTTTTTGAACCTTGAAAGCCATAGATGTTATTTAATAAAAATAGCATGAGGAACTTTCACTGTTAGAATGAACAGATTTCTTTGATAAAGTACCTAGACCTTTCCTTGAACCCTTGAACCCTGTATTAGTTATAATACAGCTACTAAAAATAAAGCACAGTGGAAAAGGAAAGATAGATAAAATGGTCTCTTATGCAGGAGCCAACAACGTAGTTCAGAGAACAGACAATGAAAGATAAAGAAACAGTGTAATGGGCAGACATCAATAGAAGGCAATCCAAACTGGGTCACAACGAGTACAAGTTAGGAAGTCAGGAAGAGGACAGTCCCTGCCCAGGATGGTTCTGGGCAGGCAGCAGCCTGAATGAGCATAGTAGATGGGCAGAACCCAGTAGAATAAGAATGGGCTGGTGTTTAGAAGAGGGCGTGTGTATGGCGTGGCACAGGCAGGTTTAGGAAGGGCTCGACATGCCACCTAGAGAGGCTTGGCCTCTGTCTTGTAGGTAACAGGGAGCAACCTTGGGTTTGGGAAGAAAAAGATGACACACAAAGTTGTGCAGAATATGCCTAGAGTGTGTATGCGGGCAGAAATGCTCCCTCCTGGGGCTACTTTACCCTGTGTGAGAAGAGAGAGGATACAGCGGTGGCCTGTGGTTAGAGGGGCAAAGTGCACGTCCACGGAAAATAACAGAGCATGCTCTATGCCCGCCAGCAGCAACCTTGGTCAACATCTCATCTCCAGGAGAGTTTGGAACAGATTTTTCTCATACAGATGATTTATTAAGCAACGTTCGTATTTTCTAAATAATTTTTTACATAGTTATCTTGTTACTAATGTAGTGTTGTGGTTTCATTTTAGTGTCTTGATTCGGGCGAGGTATTCTTTTCTTTTGTCATTTGCTATTTTTCAGAAATTGCTTTTTACTTTCTTAAGTCTCTATACGTTTACTGTTTTTTTTTTCCCCTTTTGCCTAAAAGTCTTAATTTTGATGTATAAAATCTTTATTCCATCTGCTTCACATTTTAAATTCGTAATCTTATAAATTTCGATCCCTTTTCTTTCAGATAAAAAACCTTGTTGGCTTCCAGCCTTCTAGCTAGCCTGTTGTTTCATCTCTCCTTTTAACTAGAACCTTTAATTTATGTTCCTTTACAGCAAGGCTTCTCAACTTCAAAACTGTTGACATTTTGGACCCCAAATCTGTATTTTAACAACAATCCAGGTAATTCTTAGCATGCTAAAGACAGACAACCACATATCGGAAAACCGGTGTCCAAATTAAGCTAAATCATGAGAATAAAGACTACATCCTTCTGGCTTTCTGGGTGGCTTTTTCCTGGGGGAGCTTTGGCAACAGGGCAGCGCATGGCAGTTAAAAGTTGTCAGGACAAGGAGCTGGACGGCACCGGTCTCTTGGCACGTGCGCAGCTGCTGCTCCTGTGCAGACCACTGTTTTCCTCCTTGCACTCATCTCGGGAGCCGCCTGCACAAGCGGAGGACCACCCAGCCTGTGCCGTGGGGGCTTCCTCCTACCTGCCCTCCCATGCCTCACCAACTGACTTTTAATCTCATTTTATCGCAGATTACAAGTATATTTATGAATCATGCATTTTTTAAAAGGATAGGTATATATAAATATATATTTAGACCATATGATCTGATGAGAACGTTATTTTAGAAAGACTATACTTCTTTAAGTGTCTGTAAATGTGTCAAGAACAGAAGGAACAACTGTCAATGTGGCCATCATTTAACATGCCTAGAACAGTTGTCTTTGACCCAATCTTAATATTCTTGGCTTTTCTTGCTTTCTCTCCTTGTCACTGTCATTGTAAAATGCGAAGATGTGACTGCTTAAACAGGGGAATAAATTAGCACTACCTGACTAAGCTTGGGCTTCAATTCTAATTAAAACGTCAAGTGCCAGAACAGTCTTCACAACAGAATAACCAAGCATTAATGACCACTGGGTTCAGAGAGTCACTTTTGGGGAGGGGTCTAGAAGGTGGGATACATGAATCCAAGTGACACCTCAGCTGGCGACTGGCCCCCTCCTTGCCAAAAGTTATCTAACATTTAAATTATAACTTATGATCCATCTTCCACCCATCTGTGAATCAGTTTACTTCTGACAGCTATGACATTTTTAAAAAGATTACAGCTGCCCATTAAAAGATAATACAAATTCCATCATACTTGAGCAGTGTGCTTGCTAATCTTCATGCCCCTCCCACTCAAGTCTGTTCACTTCGGTGGCCTGGGTTCTGTGTAGCTACATACTTACTTTCTAAGCAGCTGCCCTTAAATCCTATAACCATCAGATCTCAAACCTGGCAAGAGACCCCTTCGCCAGGATTTCACCCTAGTGGAACCAAAAGAACCAACTAGTTAATCTGAGAAGGGAGCTGGTTAGTCTCTGTGTGTTAATTATGGTCTCTAAGGACAGGGCTTCCCTTTTTGTGGGGTCGAATCCTCTAACGACCAGAACGATAAGACCCTGAGGGACAAAGAGGCTTTTCCTGCTGTCAACTTCCTACTCCGCTGAGCTGGCCCCTCGTGAGCTCCTGAACCCTCTGGCCAACCAACCAGAATACTTACACGGGTATGGGACCTTAAACCATGGAGCCACCAGAAGCACGCCCTGCCTGGCATCTGTTCGAGCGTAGAAGCCATACTTGGTGCTGTCAGGAGGAAAGACGTCTGTCACTGTGAAGATGAAGCAGAGCAGCCAGGACACGAGGATGGCCAGGATGATCTGAAGTGGTCGAAGGAAAAGACTCGATCAGGCCAAGAGGAGTGGTGGTTGTTGGCAAAACACATGCCTTCCTACATCTGAGTATAACACCCCCAGGATCTACCGCTGTCAGTACTTTGCTGAAAAACCCTGTGACAGATTTGCTGAAAGCCTATTATTCCTTAAATAGAATCACATTTAGAGAAAGCAGTTTTATCCAAGTAGAGTTACTTTAACCTTAGGTCTAACTAGTAGAATAAGGATAATGGACAAGGTGCCTGCCAAGGCAACGTGGGGTTAGCCCTCTCAGTCCCAGGAACTAGCAATGTCCTCTTTCGCACTACTAAGGATTTCAGAATTGGAAGCTGCCGCCACTTTTAAGTCCATGACGACGTGGGTGGTCATTAGTACCCCAATGTCGCTGCACAGACGTGGTCCCCTCAGGAGAACCTGCTTAAAACCTTCCTTTCACATAAACGTTGTACATAATGAACCAAAGGCAATACTGTCAGGAAAGATAAAAAAAGGTGACAACTCACAGGGAACATTTTGAAAAGCTGCAACTTGTACGCAGTCCATCCTTTCTTGGATTTGTAAATTGGGAGAGGAAATTTAACATTTCTGGCATACTGAGAAAATAGTAATACTAGGAAAATTGTCCTGAGGAGAGAAAGAAAATAAACTATGTTAAAGGCCGTATGTCTGTGTTTTAAAATATTGCTCAAATCTTCAATGGCAAAAGTGACTACGTGTGATCAACTCATTTCTCTATAAAGCTGCTTGTGTTCTTAACCGTTATTTGGGAAACTGTCTTATGGCAACGCCGTTTTTGGAATGATATTAGAACTCTTTCTCTTAGCGTTACTTGATACAGAAAGGAAATTATTATGTAAATGCCTTGGCTAAATTTTCCTTAACAGAACAAGAAAACCCAAAGAATGTATACACTGATGGGAAAAGCTCACACTATGTAAGGGAGAGAGAGAGGCTGTCAAATATAACAAAAAGCCAGTGTAATTATAACCACAAATTAACTGAAAAACAAGCAACTACCACACGAGTGTGCACATAGACGCACACGCATACGTGCAAACAGTGAGGACGGATCCAAAATGCTCACAGGGATTGGCTTCAGTTGGCAATATGATAACGCAACTTTTTCTACTTTTCTGTACTTTCTGATTTACTTAAAAAAGCATAAATTACCTTTAAAAAGCAAAAAGCAAAGCTTCAATGTTCAAGAAAGCGATATACAGAATTCCATATTCACGCTAAGAGGTTTCGTGTGTCAGACATTACAGGAAAGTCTCCCCACCCATCACCTCACTGTTCTGCAGTGGCTTCTGTGGTCATCTCCTTTAGAGAGACAAAGCCAGCAGTCCAAGGTCATGCAGCTACAGCTTGAAGGGTGGGCAGGCCAAGGGTCCAGCTCTAGGGCCTGGGCTCTGAACCACTTTGCCACACGGATCATAAGGGCTGGGAGGCCTGGGCTGGCTCAGAAAGCCCTTTCACCCTGAACCCCACACGCCTGACCGAGATGCCCTGAGGGCTGCAGGAAGCAGCAATGGCAGGTGACTTTCCTGCAACAGGCCCGAGACATTCTCCTCAGTCTACTCCCGAGTGTGGCAGGTGTGGGATGGCTCCCCATGACTGAAGCAATAAAGGCATACACACAATGGTGTGTTTCATCATCCACTGGGAATCACTCTTTGACTTACAACCCAAGACACAGTTGGCCGAAGAGTGGGTTCTCCATCAGAGCTAAGCTTAATGGTTCCTGGGTACAGTTCTAATTGCTGAAATGGAATTATCAGCTCTGATCTCGCTGGTCAAGTGCAGCTTTCCTGTCATGTATCTAATGAGGTACGAACAGTAGCCGGCTGCAGAACAGGCCTGTGCTGCTTCACCATCTCCCCCACCTACTTGGGGCGTCGAGGGTCTCTGGCCTACCACAAAGTCACCAGGCCAGTACCAATTCAAGGTTGAAAACACTGAAAACATACATAGTGCTCAAGTTATTCCAATTTCCCTGGGGTGGTGGAATTTAACAACAACTACTACAACAAAAAACGATACGGCAATGAAGGATATTAAAACTGCTTTGTTTTAAACTTAGACAAAAATGAAAAATTCAGGTTTTAAAAAATGCTACCGATTAATTTCAAAGTGAACACTCTGAGATCCCAAAAGACCCCAAGTCTGCTATTATTATTATTTTACGTGACATCCCACGGGGCAATTACGCCTGAACTGTGGTGTTCGCTTTTCAAAGCCTGTTTATAAAAGGTAGGGGGACACATACAAAAATTCAAGGAAGGACACCTGAATCTCAGGCCTAAATCTGGCAGTGCAAGTTGAGTGAATGGGCTAGGCAGATGAGAGCTCCATTTTCTTCCCATTCTAAAATCCATCTACTTCTAATTTATGGTTATCCTCAAATACACCTGTGGGGCAGGCAGGGCAGGCAACCCCACAGCAGAGGCAGAAGGTGGGGAGGGGGGCGTGCCTATGTTCACACACCTTGGCCGAGCAGAGGAGAGACAAGGGTCTGAGCCTCAGATCCTCTGGCCAGAGTTTGGTCCGCCATAGCTGGCTCTTTCTACCTCATGTTTACATGTCGCTTCTTTGTTGACCTTTCTTTTACCTTACAAATATTTTTCAAAAAATACGTACTAAAATGTAGGAAAATTATAAAAGGCAGATAAGTTAAAAAAAAAAAAAAAAAAAAGGACAAGATTTTAAAAAAAAAAAGGACAAGATCTTAAAGATCTCTCATCATCCCCACTGGGTGACAACCATGGAGCATTCTGGTCTATCACCCCATCGGCTTCCATTCCTGGGATATTGATGTGTCATCTGGGAATAGAGAGGGAGACAGGACTGCCTGAAATCATCTTTGTCCTCAGAGCACGAACATGTCATCCATCATCTGACCCACAGTGGAATCATACTTTACATGCCACTTCCCAACCAGCTTGTAGCCCTGTTAAGGACACAACCTCAACAGATGGAAATCTGAAACAGCACCTTAGCGACTGCTTAGCATTCAGCCCTATAGCTGTACCGCATCTCGTTTAACAGTTCCCACACGGTGCGACGCTGGGAGCAACAGAAACACGGTGATAGATCACCCTTCCCCGACCTGCCTCAGTATCTCCTTACAAGTTCCTAGGACTGGGACGGATCTGTCGAACAGTAAACACCTGATTAAAAAGCTTCTGATACAAACTGCCAAATATGTACAGAAAGGTTGGGTGAATTTACAGTTCCACCCAGGGACCAAGGACATTCATTTGCTACTCTCTGTAACATAGAGTCTTATCATACTTTCAAATCTCTACCAATTTAAAAAACTTCATCATCTTATAATGGCAAAGTTGTGTAAGTATGCTTATATTTATGCATGAACAATATAAAATATAAAAGAATATTAAAGTTTTACTAATCATGAGATTTTTTAAGGGATGGGGATGGGTGGAAAGGACTACTACTTTAGATTTCCCTGTTTAATTACTGTTAAACTTCAAATGACTAGAATTTAAATACATTTGAGGGTACAGATAAAATGAGATTTCTTCTGAGTGTTTGGTGATGGTACTGGAAGGTTCATGTTATACTCCTCTACTTTTGAATAAGTTTGAAATTATGCCTAAGAAAAGTAACGAAAATGCAAGTTTTCTCAGTAAAAACACAGTTCCCAACAAGGACCTATGCATGGTATTAGAAATGTTAACACATTTACTCTCCAGAGACTGTCTCTAAATGCCACCTCTTTTGGAGACCTAGGACCCATGTTGTAAAACCTAATCCATCACCACTACCCCACTGCCCACAGAATCCCTGTGAATGTGCATTTTCATATGCACTGGGGGAGGGGGATAACCCTTTTTTACACATTAATCGGCTATTTGTATTTCTTAAATGGCTATTCATATTATATCCTTCATCCATTACTCCACCAGGACTCGCTCTCCTTTAAATCAATTAGTGAAACTATAAACTGGGGACATTGGCCTTTCTGGTGAAATTGGTTATATTTTCCCAGATTCATTTATAATTTAGTTTCAGTGGTTTTTGATATGAGTTTTAAATGCATTAGAAGTAAAATTTACTGATCTTTTCTCATTATCTGCTTTAAGATCCTGTCTTCTATCTGTGGATTCCAAGAAATAAGCATCGTTAAAAAGTCTCCCCTCCTGCGGTCGTCAGGTCTAAGTCAGTCTCCCAAGGGCCCAAACGGCTGAGGAAGCTCTTCATCGGAGGTCTGAGCACAATGAGTGTCTGGGGAGCAATTCTGAGCATTGGGGAACGCTCACAGACTGTGGGGTGATGAGCGATCCAAACTCCAAGCGTTCCGGAAGCTTTGGGCTTGTCCAGTGTGCCACTTGTGGAGGAGGTGGATGCAGCCATGAATGCAAGGCCACACGAGGTGGATGGAAGAGCTGCAGAACCAAAAAGGGCCATCCCAAAAGAAGGGTCTCCAAAACCTGGTGCCCAATTCACTGTAACAAAGATTTCTGCTGGTGGCATTAAAGATGACACTGAAGAACATCACCTAAGAGATTATTTTGAACAGTATGGGGAACTGAAATGACTGAAATCATGCCTGACTGAGGCAGTGGCATGAAGAGAGGCTTTGCTTTTGTAACCTTTGATGACTATGACTCTGGAGACAAGACTGTCATTCAGAAATACCACATTGTGAAAGGCACAACTGTGCGGGAAGGAAAGCCCTATCAGAGCAAGAGATGGCTGGGGCTTCCTCCAGCCAAACAGGCTGACGTGGTTCTGGAAGCATCGGTGGTGGTGGTTTTGGTGGGAATGACAGCTTCGGTCATGGAGGAAACTTCAGTGGTCGGGATGGCTTTGGTGGCAGCCGCAGCAGTAAAGGACACGGTGGCCGTGGGATGGCTACAATGGATTTGGTAATGATGGAAGCATTTCTGGAGGTGGTGGAAGCTACAATGATTCTGACAATTACAACTATCAATCTTTGAACCTTGGACCCATGAAAGGAGGAAGACTTTGGAGGCAGAAGCTTCTATGGTGGTGGAGACCAATCCTTTGCCCAACCATGAAACCAAGATGGCTTATGGCGGTTCCAGCAGCAGCAGTAGCTACGGCAGTGGCAAAAGGTTTTAATTACTGGCAGGAAACTAAGCTTAGGGGGAGAGGCGAGCCAGAGAACAGGGAATCTACAGGTTACAACGGATTTGTGTTGTACAGTGGTGACAGGGCCTAGCCGCTACAAAGACACGTTTTAGTCAACACTCGTGTATGGGCAAATAACTCTAACTTGAGGACTGTATTTGTGACATTGTGTGACGGTTTATTTTAGTTTCAGTTCTGTAGAAAGTGTAGCGGCATTCCAGCAAAGGGTATATTAACGCACTTTTTTTTTTGCATTCATGCTGTTGATTGCTAAATGTTAACAGTCTACTCATAACACTGAATAAATGTATCTTTTTAAAAATGTGTTGTGTAAAGTTAGTCTACTCTGAAGCCATCTTAGTAAATGACCCCAACAGCGCGAAGTTACAATCCCTTTGGGGGATGCCAGTTCCATTTGAAATTTATTTACAACCTGCTTGGGTGCAGAAGCCATTGTCTTCAGAAACCCTGGTGTAGTTGAATTGACAGTTATTCTGTTATAACGTGAAGTTCACCGTTAAAAGGGTCACCCAAGCAGTCATGAAGTTTATTTGGTTATTAATGATTACTGGCATATACTATGCAATATATCTAAAATAAATTATGATGCCAGATAAAATTATAGATGGGGATGAAACTTGTGTATCATCCATTATAATATGTAATGAATAAACAATTTAATATACTCTTGGGGGGGAAATCTTCCCTGTTTTAAGATTAAATATTTATATAGGTTTTCTTCCAGCACTTTTTCTACATTTAAGTCTTAATTTAACTGAAATGTGATTTGATATAAAGTAGGAATCTAACTTTTTTCCAAATAATTATCTCATTTTTCCCACACAATTCTTCCATTTCCCACCGCTATCAAATACGACTGCATCATATACTAAACATGAACTTTATCTTGGTTCTATTTCTATCCCTCCTGTTCTACTCTGCCAAAGTCATTACTGACCTAGGACCACTCTCGTTATTAAGCTCTGGAATGTGTTTTAAATTTTATAAGGGCAAGTCACCATTTCCTTCTCCCTGACCTTTCTGGTATTGATCCACATTATTTTATTTTATTTTCTTTCACATGGGTTAGCACATCCAAGATAACTTTAAATGATACTAGTGATGATAAACATGCTTATCTCAATTTCTGATTTCAATAGGTAGGCCTGACTTGTCTTTCACCACTAAGAATGATGAATGCTAACACTTTGCAGCAGGGCTACAGGTTGAATGATTGTATGTATCACCATGGTTTTTATTAATAAAATCCACATGGACCCATAATGGATTTTATTAATACATTTTCTAATATATAATCATCTTTGAGTTCTTGAAATGACACAAAATGTATTGTTCTTTTATTGTATTATCTGTACCAGCATTTTCCCAAACAATGTTCCAAAGAACATTCCTCCTGGATGTTTACAGATAGTATTGTAAAAAAAAAAAAGTACAATAACCGTGTGCAGAGCTGGAAACGAAGGCCCTTTTTTCAAGAGTCTTGTGCATACTTGCGTTTTAAAAGATTACAAGGAGCCTTAAGTAAGAAAAACGCTGAGCTTTAGCGCAATACTACCTGAACACATGTAAACTCAGCTCAGGGTTTTACACAACCCCAGGAAGAAAGAATTGGTCAGACTCTCCCTTTTGTAGTAACTCTGTCAGCATTTGACATTAAGATAAAATTGACTGCGAAATTCTCTTCTTTCTCAAAGCTCCAGAACCGTTTAAATGGTGCATGTGTTCTCTTTTCTTTGAGGATGTGATACACTCACTGCCTAATCACTGGAGCCCAGGGCTTCTTTTAGGGATAAAAGTCCTTCGACACACTCCTGACTTTTCTCGTGATCACAACTATGCTCATGTCCCGTGCTCCTCCCCTCACTTATTCACAACCTGCTTACCCAACACTTCTCTGTGACAGATGGTGAGCCAGGGTGCTGGGGGTGCCATGGTGACCAGCACAGAGCTGAGTCTCTGCCTTTACAGAAGTGACACCTCGAGTACAAAAGATGAGCTCTTGCAAACGCAAAAACACGAGAGGAAAAATGAAAAGCTCGACAGAAAAATTCACAGATAAAACTGAGGAAGATTCCCATGAATAGAGAAAAAAAGATGATGAGATAAAAAACAGGAGAGGAAAGCAGAGCGAGAGTTCAGGAGGTCCAAAGAAAGAGTTCAGGAGGTCCGACATTCTAGAAGTTCCAGAAAGAGACAAGCATGAATGGAGGGGGGGGAAGGCATTTGAGAAATAATTTGAGATCATTTCCCACCTCTGAACACCTGAGATTCCAGCATGAAAACACCCTGAACGCCCAACCGGGGATATAAACAAACCACCAAGGGGCGGGGGACGAGGTTTCGGACACTGGAACGATGAAAAGACCTCACGGCTTCTGGAACTCTAGCATGTGTTCTACTGGAGTTTCAAAAGGAGGAGACAGGGACCAAGCACCTTCCAGGACTGAGAATGGACAGGAGGGAGCAAAGAGAACCTGGAGACTGGTTTGGAAGCAATGGTCAAGGGTGAGGCTGGTCAAGGGTGGTGGCCGCGAAGACCCAGAGGACAAACCCAAGATTTTGTTGTGAAGGTGGGACAGAATGGTGGGCTGTCCATGGGGAACCGGGGAAAGCGAAGAGTCAAGGATGTCTGCAGGGTTTCTAGCTTAGAAACTGAGGTGTTTGTGCCACTGAGTAAAAGGAGGGTGACAAGAGAAGGAACTGGCTTGGCGGACAAGGAGGGAATCAAACATTTGGCGGTTTCTTCCTTTACAGTTTGAGATGTTTTGTATAACGGCAAATGGAGAGGGCAAGTCAGGGGCAGGATCTGTAAGTCACCGACCTAACAGCTGTTAGCTGATTCCGTGGATGAGATGATCTAGGGGATGAGCACGTGGCAAGGAGGAGGCTCAAGATCAAGTTCTGATGAGCCCAACAGAGCTTACGGTCAGAGGAATTAATTTTAGTTATTTATGCTTTTCTGGAAAACCATTATTATTATTCATTTTAATTTGGGAGGAGGGAGTATAGATTTAACTCATTCTCCCTGGACCTACAGTTTTATTCTTCTATTTGTGCAAGCAGTCCCTTCTAATCTAATTGGCCTTGCCAGAAGTCTGTCTACATGTTATTCTCCAAAGGACCAGCTTTGGGATTTGTTACTTCTATTTGTTTCATATTTCTTGTATCTTTATTAAGTCTTTCCACCTGCCTTCATTGGGCTCATTTTTATTGTTTTTCTAGTTTCTGGAGCTAGCTCTTCATGTACTTCATTGGCCTTTAAGGTAATAAATTTCCTCAAGGACAACTCTGACTACTCTGTAAAGTGTGATTAGTGCTGTTACTATCGTTTTTTAAATTATCAGCAATTGTGAAGACGTTCCAATTTCATCTCTGACTACAAATTATTTATAACAGTGAGGTTTTTGTTTTTCGTTTTGTTTTTTAGCTTCTAAGTGAGCTGGGGATTTTGTTCACCCTTTTGTTGGTTTCTAAGATAACTGAATGATGGTAAATACAATTTCTCCTTTTTAGAGCTTAATACATTTCACTAAATGAACATTCTTACAAGCCTTCTACACACCCAATCTGGTGTGGAGACTACTGGCCAACTTTTAGTGAAATGAGTAAATTAAGAATAATCCTGGATATTTTCACATATCTTAATTTGTAATGATATATGGGCTCCAATTATGCAAGAATTCACTTTATTTGTACATCATGTTCTAACACAAAGAAGCAGATTTAGTGTTATAGCTTAAGTTCTATTTAGGCTATATGGGTTTTGAAAACCATCTCGGCCACTTACTAGCTGTGTGATCCTGGACAACTAACTACATCACTGTGTCTCCCCTTCGTTAGCTGTTAAATGAGGGTAGCACCGATACCTACCTTAATTTATAATAATACAATAAGTGTTATGTAAAGCACCGATGCAGAGGCTCAGCAAGGGCTGCTTGTTATTGAATAATTACAGAATATTTCACAAGGCAAAACAAAAACAACTGGAAATGCTCTTGTGTTATTAATTTGCTTTAGAAATGTTACTGGTTCTCTATTATATGATCGGCTCTTACATATGCTCTGTAGACACACAATGTGTCTTCTATTTGTGTGTTCTGTCTGTGGTTTTCAGAATTCCACGCTGCTAATAATCTTTTATTGTATCATCATCAAAGTCTTGAATGTCTTTACTGTCATCACTTAAAGAGGTAAGCAGCCTTTTTAATGGGCTTAAAGTTCTATGCAAGGACCAGCACTGACTAGTAGGACTCTGGCCTCCCCACAGATGTGCAGAACTCGGCTTGGCCCGGGGAGCTATGTCTCCGTCAATGCCAACGAATCCTCCAGCAGCCTCTCCCTCCTGCCAATCTGGAAGTATTTTTGAGTCTCACCTAAAGCAGGGGTCCCCCACTCCTGGGCCATAGACCGGTACCAGAACCAGGCCACACAACAGGTGAGCAGTGGGCGAGGAAGCAAAGCTTCATCTGTATTTGCAGCTACTCCCCAGCGCTAGCATTACTGCCTCAGCTCCATCTCGGATCATCAGGCATTAGAGTCTCATGGGAGCAAAGGTTGGGAACTGCTGACCTAAAGGATTCAGGTTCTCAGTATTTCAATTTATACGCAGGAGACTTGTCATGACCTCAAAAGTTAAGAACTACTGACACCACCATCTTACATCCTCTCAAAGTTTGAAATCTTATAGCGCTTCCCCTACACATCACTGACAAATGTGTCTTTGGCATACCTTGACGGCAAGTCACTTCCCAATCTCTGGGTCTAAAAAACCCTTAAATAATTCCCTGGCACAAAGCAAATAAAGTTTAAACTATCAGACTATTCTTACTTTAAAAAGCCCCAAAACTATCTCCTAAAGTCTGTATAAATGTTCCAACAGCCCAAGAGGCTTGTCCCTCGGTGGTGGAAAGAGGGGAGGTTTTTACTGTCCACCACTGGGTGGTCTCGGGATACTTACAGCATGGCGATGCCCCAGTGCTTCCCTGCTCTCTCTCCCGCTGCCTGGAAACCAGAGAGGCCAATGAGGGCCACCGTGGGCGTTATGGTCAGGGGCCCAATGTATTTCAGCAGAGCACCAGGCAGGCCTAGGAGGCCGATGACCACTTCTATCAGTGAGGACATGATGATAGCCCCCTGGATCTGGAACAAGAGAGAGCACAGACATGACAGTAAGCTGCTCATACATCACATGCTCAAAGTGTAACCACAACCGATAATTCTGCAAGGCACTGAGTTATAAAACAGGCAGGACACAGCTGGAAAATTCCCAGGAATTCCAAAAGAAACCAACGGGTGTGACTAGGGCCTATCAAACTTAAGTATGCCCTGACTAAAGTAAGAATATTATAGAAATGGGCACTGGATACAAAGCCAACTTGCCATTTCCATTGATAAATGAGACAGACGTAATTCATAATTCCTATTTAAGACACATGGCATTCAAAACCAGCCTCAAAGGAACACTGCAGTATAAAGCTTCTTGACTTTAAAAAGTGAGCCCCTGCAGCACATTTAAAAGATAGTGTTATTGACAAAAACTCTGAAGGAATGTTTCTCCTGTGCAGAATGGCTGTGCTGGTTCTAAACTAGTGGTGAATGATCTTACAGGTTCTGAAAGATCTGGGTAAACTGTCAGCCATTCTTCAAGGCTGAAGACTCCCAGACCTATTCGAGTGCACTGTAGTAAACAATTATCTTTAATTCTTTCCACAAATACAGGCAAATACTGAGTCCAGAATGACAGTTGTGCCGCCTGCTGACAAGCCTCTGTTGCTCCATCCAAGGGAGCCACGCCCTTTGGCTGGTTAGGCTGGAGGGTGTAAGTGAGCAGGTCTGTGGGTGCACCAGAGGAAAGAAGGAGGGAAATGAAGGGTGAGAAACAATCCTATCTGGTTGAGTAAAGCATTTCCACGTGCTTTATTTCGTAAATTTAGTTTAGTTACACTAACCTAAGTTTAGTTGAATAGAAGTAAACGTGTCGGTAGATGAAAAGAAAAGAAGGCTTAGTGCAAGCAACTGCAGCTTCTTGGGCACAACTAACACTGAAGCTGAGCGGAAACACAAAGAAGCCACAAGCAGACAATGCTCATCTTTTACCTCGCGTATCCGGGGATACCAGATGTGCTCTGTGTGTAACAGTTCTGTTGTTCCATTGGCAACTGAAACATCTTGAAAACAAAAACAAAGACAAAATTTTTCTTGGAGTGACACTGATGTTTCATAGGACACACTCATTTTACTCTTTTTAAGAAGAATTTCCTCCTTGTTTTAAGTATATTTGTACAAATACCCATCCCTGAAATTCAACAGTACGGCTTACCATACTGAAAGGTGGGTTCCCCAGTGCTAATTTAACCAAATTTATTCATCGACTGAGAGCTCCCAGCATGTCAGAAGCTGACTGAACTGGTGATGCACGTTGCTAGTGGCAGCCTCACACAAAGACCAACCTGTGCAAGCAGCTCATTGCAATGCCCAATAGCAAGGTTGCCTAAGGTTGTGAAAACCTAGATAAAGCAGAGAGCCTTCTCCAGTTCCTAAATCCAATCAGTGGTCACAAAGTAACTCCTAGGAGCAAGGAAGGAAATGAAGGTTGGAAAAACTTTGCTCCCAGAACTTAAAAATCGAACAGTATTTTAAGAGTACAACAGGTCTGGTTTTCTCAAACCCCCTATCTTATCTTTTCCTGACTTTATAGGGTTACTTAAGGATCTTTGCAATCACTAAGCGGGGAGGAAGGGGATGAAAGTCATTTGCAGAAAACCAAAGCAGCCAGATCCTTAAAAAAGCAGAGATGTTTCAGAGAAGGGATGCTGATGCGACAAAGAGAATGATTACTGGTGGTTCATAAAATCCACTGAAAGAAAGAGGCAGAAAAATAGCACAAATATTTTTCTCTTCATTCCCATACTTATCAATTTCATTAGCATAGAGAAATGAGGTCCCTTCTGGTCCTTACTTGCTCTGGGATTAGGGATGAACGAGTGGATAGAAAGAGAGAGACAGAAACACGATCCACAGATTGGAGTGTTCTAAGCTGTTGGTTTGTATGTTCTGTGCCTAATTCCAGAAAGGATTTAACACTGCTGAGGGCAACATGTCCAGGCCTCCCTTTTATCACCTGCATTAAAGGACCCCAATGACATATGTGGAAATAACTGCAATTACCTGTGGTGTTACATTTCCATTTATCTAAAGACAGGATGGCTCGAGCAGGGGCCAGAAATGCAAAAGCACTGGCCTGAAACAGGGGTAACCTAAAAGAAACGAGACCAAAACCATGATCACGGCATCAGGAACTACCGAGGTAGTTCACTATTTGACAGCTTAACAGTCTTTTCCATAGACAAACAGCCCATGAGTAAATGCAGGCACACCTGGAAGAAAGAACCCCCAGTCCGCAAAGATCTCTTCTCCATGCAGCCAGGGCCGCTGGCTTCTCCGTCCTCCCCTCCTGCTGCTCTCCCCCCAGGGTGGGCCACAGGGGAGCCCTATAGTCAGCACCAGCACCCAACACTGGCCCCTGCCATCGCCGCCTCTCCCCTTGGGGTTAGGGGATGTTGGGCATTTGGGCATCTCCTTC